CAGATGAGATTGGGCATGTTCAGGGTAGTATGGCCATAGATTACTTTAATAGATTTTTTAATCTCCTGGATATGTGTTTGAATCTGTTTCATGAATTCCATTTCTTTGCAATGTTGGGCATTCTAACATTTTCCATCATTTTCCTAAGCTGCTCTATTTTTTTATCTGTATCTACTCTAGAGTCATTAAGCATATCTTTCATTATGTTCACCATCTTTGTAGTTATCTGGGAAACTATTACTAATTTGATTTTTTCTCTTTTTTTCAATTTTGTGTGTGTGTGTGTGTGTGTGTGTGTGTGTGTGTGTGTAGTAGGGATTGAACTCAGGACCTTGGACTGCCAGGCAGGTGGTGGTACCACTGAGCTAAATCCCCAGCCCCTGATTTTTTTTTCTTTACAGCCTCATTCATCTGCTTTGTTACTTCTGCTATTACAGTGTCAGAGTCCAGATGGGTGGGTTTCAAATTGTTCAGCCTCATTGCTCCCTGGGTTTTCCTTGGTAAGCTACAATTTTGGGGTTGCTTAACCCCAATCCCTTGCTTAAGTGTCTTCTCATTTTCTTTTCTTTCTTTCTTTTTTGTTTTTAGTTTAATTCCTGGGTTGATGCTTGTAAATTGCATTTGGCAAGTAGCTTTATTGCTACTTTTTTTTTTTTTTTTTTTTTTTTTAGTACCAGGGATCAAACTCAGAACCTTGTGCTTGCCAGGCAGGCACTGTGCTGCTGAGCTAAATCCCTGGCCTGACTACTTAGAATCCTTAGGGAATATATACTTCTCAGACATGTCTTCCAGGTGTAGCTGGCTTTTGAGTTTTGAGACTGTTGAAAGAACTTACCTCTTCAATTTATTGGAGATGAGAAGTTGCTGCCTATTTGACCTAACCCCTGGTCCTTTGGCACTGTCCTATAATACTGTTTATGACTTTTAGACAATCTCAGTCTTGACATACCAGGAAGAACAACTGATTAGAACAATTATGATGCTGTGGCTAAAGTTGTACAACCAGCATTAAACATAGCTAGAAATTGACAAACTGTGGTAACTACTAATTTGCAACCTTTAACCATATGAACTAGATCTGTGGTTATATAACAAAGTCTAAAACAAACTAGAAAATTGTATACAGTAAATATGCTCTCAGTATGGCAATTTTACCCGCAGAGGAGAGAATTTAAAAGGAGTGTAGGGAAAAAAATATAGAAATAGAAGAAGAAGAAGAGATTAGAAGCAAGGCTGGAGGAGAAAGGAAGATTATGCAAACTTTGGGACACTGGTGAAGAAGACAGGAGGGAAAAAGAGAAGGAAGAAATAAGAACCAAACAAAAACAACAACAAAACTAGAAACAATGTTCACATTTATATAAAAACAAGAACAAACAAGAAAAAAAGAAAACAAAACTGAAAACAAGAAAAGAAAAAAAATAAAAGAAGAAAAAATTTAAAATATCATCACACCACTTATGGCATGTCTCTGCTGTCACTGGTAAACAACTTGGGCACACAGAGCCCAGTTCCATGTTAGTTAATCCCAGCAACAATAGATTTATGGTGAGGTGGTGGATAATCCCAGCAAGCCTGTACCTGAAGCTCAGGCTGGTTTCTGTGTTTGAGGTTGGAACCCAGTTTGTTCAGCCTGCAACACTCTGTGTGCCTCCTGCTGGCTTGAACTTGGCTCCTTGTCCTCCTGCTGACTTGAACTCAATCCCACTTTGCCTGATGAAGCCAGCCCAGAGCTACTCTGAGTTCTGAGCTCCGTTAACACCACTCAAGATGGTGACCAGCCCGTCACCCTCTCCCAGAGGATGTCTGGACTTGACTAAGTCACCGGCCACACCAGTCCGCTGTGTCCACGATTCTGCTCTACTGGTGTGTCTCTCCTTGGAGGCCTCTGGGGCCACAAGGAGTCACTGTGTGTCTGCAGCTTTGAGTCCCTGTCCCGTGCAGTGAGTCAGGCCTTGGGAGAAGGCGCTGCAGTAAAGTCTCTCTCCTGGCTCCCTGTGGGCCTCAGTTCTCGCTTCAGATCCTTGCTGGGTCCTGGGGCCCCACTTCCCTCCGTCTCTTCCTCTCATTGCTATATTCCAGTGTCAGGACATCATATCTTGGAAAGGCTGTTTCTCTGCTGTTCACCACTCTGCTATCTTCCTGGAAGTCCCAGCATGAGTTTTTAAAAAACTATTAAAACAAGGCATGCACAGTGGTGCAGACCTGTGGTCCCAGGACTGAGGGAGGCTGAGGCAGGAGTTTCAAAAGTTCAAGTACCACCTGGGTAACTTAGTGAGACCCTATTTCAAAATAAAAAATGAAAGGGGCTAAGGCACTGGGTTCAATCCCCAGTACCACAAAAAGTAAATAAAAGTAAAATTAAAAATATAACAAACTATTAATGCACTTGAAAGAATGTGTAAAGAAGAGTTATAGGAAGATTTCAGAATTTTTGTGCATTGTCATTAGAGACACACTGTTTTGTTTTGTTTTGCTTTTTGAGAAAGGTATCATTATATAGTTCAGGCTGGCCTTGAACTCACTAATGGTGATCCTCCTGGCTCAGCCTCCTGAGTGCTGGAATTATAGGCATGTGTCACCATGCCTGGCTTTTTGGACATATACTTTTTGAATATCCCATAGCTCTTCCTAATCCTGAGAAACTCTAAATGTGTGAGGCAGGAGAATAGAGACAGCATGGCCTAAGATGGCTAACAGCTATTAGTTTTTATTTTGAGTGGGCTCTCCCTTCGTTCCTACATTGCCAGGCTGGACTACAATTGGTGATCCTTCTGCCACAGCCTCTGCCACCACACCCCGCTAGCATACAACATTTAAGAGAATAATTTGTCAGGGTAAAATTCATGTCACATAAACCCAGCTGTTTTAAAATGAATGACACAGTAAAATAAAATAAAACAGCGGTGACTAGAACATCTCAGTGTGCAACCTCGGCCTCCGTCTGGTTCCAGAACATTCCGGTCCTTCCAAAATAAAACCCTTTGCACAAAGCGCCTTTTAAGTTGTAGGAGTACAAAGCCTCCTAACCACAGCTTAAGTGAGGAGGAGTTAGCTTTTTATGAGAAATCCAAAAGAATTTTAGAAATGCATTTTAGAAATATTTGAAAGAGCATGAAAACGCGTTCAAAGAAAAAGACCACAAACATGGGAGCGAGTGCTCGTGGTCCGTCCATCAGATACAGATGAGAGCAGGATGCATTTCTACTGCCTGGATGAGCAAAGATGATGATGACGGGTGGCCTAGCCATCAGCGAGGGCATGGGAGGCAGCGCTAGTCTGTCTCCCTCTATTGCATTTCCCTTGCCTCCGGCTTCCAGGAAGGGAACCCACTGAAGCAGAATGCCAAGGCATAAGGAAAAGGGTCTCTTGTTGGAAAATACGTTTTGAAATAGAAGCTTCTGAATGTCCATTGTAGGAGTTCTGGACTCTAGCACTCAGGAGGCTGAGGCAGGAGAATCATAAGTTTAAGCCCAGTTTGGGCAATTTAGTGACTTAGGTAGATCCTGTCTCAAAAGTAAAAATTAAAATTTTTTTTTAAAAAGGCTAAGGATGTAGGTCAGCACAGAGCCCCTGGGTTCTACCCCCAGTACTGCAAAAATAAAATCCAAATATCTGGTAGCTACTGGTCCTCCCTCCCCTGGCACTTGGAGGCCAGCATGCTTCCTGTTGTGAGCTTGTCTGTTCTGCATGTATGAACAGAAATTCACACTCACACACATTCACTCACCGGTGTGTGACCGCTGTTGTGTGGCTTCCTTCACTTCCTGTTTTCAAGGCCGCTCATGCTAGGTGGGAGCCAGGGCTCTGTGCCTCTCGATGGCTGACCTGTCCCATGTTATGGATGTGTATGTGCTGCTTTTTTCTTTTGGTGGGGGTTATCAGAAATTGAACTTAGGGCCTCGCACTTGCAATGCAGGCACTGTTTTTGTTCTGTTTTGTTTGTTGTTGTTGTTGTTGTTGTTGTTCTGTTTTGGTTTTGAGGCAGGATCTCACTATTGCAGTTCATGCTGGCCTTGAACTCACTTTGTTGTGTAGCTGAGGCTGGGGTGATCCTCCTGCCTCAGCCTCCTGAGTGCTGGAGTCACAGGCGTGTGCCACCAGACCCAGCTTGTTTTTCTCATTCAGCTGGTGGACATGTGCATTGTTTCCACTTTGTGGTGATTGGGAAAACTGCAAATGGGACTCTGTGACCTGTACTTCACAGGATGCAGAACTGGGAGGGGAATCGCTGGGTTCCGTCCTTGAGTGACTTGCAGACTTCTGAGATTTCAGGCCGTGTTCTGTGCCCCCTGCCTCCCTACCTCCTTTCCCACTGTCCCCTTACCGTGTATGACCTCCGGTTGTCCTCTGCACCCCTGATCCACATCCACGCGAAGTGCGGTGGTCACCTGGCAGCTGTCTGTCCTTAGGTCACCTGCACGGCTCTCGTCCCTCCTGGGGCAGAAGCCTCGCCTCCCTCATGTCTGTGTCCTCAGCCCTGGGCTCCACGCCTGGCATGGCAAGGTGTTCCGCAAGGCCGGGAACAGAGGTGGCACCCCCTTCCTCTGCACCCGCCACTGGCCCTGCCGTCCAGCCAGGGACGACACACGCACATTAAGACGCAGTCCTTGTCAGTTTGCATGGAGCCAGATCCATGTGTTCGGACCTGTATCATTTTTTATTTCATGGGCCCTCATTAAGAGAAAAAGAGAAATAAAAAATACAATTAAGAATAAATAAAATGGGCTGGGCATGATGGCACACACCTATGATCCCAGCACTCAGGAGGCTGAGGCAGGAGGATTGCCCTGGGTTCAAGTCCAGCCTGGGCTTCATAGCAAGACCCTGTCTCAAAATAAATAAATAAATACATACATAGAGCTTCCTGTGCACAGGCTTAGCGGAGCGACAGACAGGAAATTTAGAATTAAAACTTTGTAAGGGCACTGTGCCCCCAAGTCTTAAGCCCGCGTTTGGATTGGCGGAATCTGAAGCTTGGTTTGTCCTTTTCTGTTCAGGAAGACACTTCTTGGGCCCGCGTACGGGTCTCCTGTCGAGCAAGCACGAGTCCTCCCAGTGAGAACGGCCCTGGAGCTGGAGAAGCGCTACCTGGTGTTCATTAACAGAGACAAGGTTGCCAGCCTTTGTGTCCTGCCCCTGGGGTGTCGGGACAGGGACGGCAAGCCATCCCCACAACCCTGAGACTGCTCGCTCCTGTCCGAGGCAGTGGAGCCCTGAAAATGGCTATGGATTAGTGGGACTGATGATTGGGAGACATTTTTGAGCAGTTTCCATATTTTCTGTACCTCCACTGAAGAAACATGACCCACTAAAGGATTTTTTCTTTCTTGTTTGAAAAAAAATCTTACAATACTTGGGAGGCTGAGGCAGGAGGATCGCTGTAAGTTTGAGCCCAGCCTGGTCTATATAACAAGACCTGTATCTCAAAACAACGAAACCAAAACCCGAACCTTATAGTCATACACATTAGGTACACTTATTTGTACTTTGTTTTTGTGGCACAGGGGATTGAACCCAGGGCCTTCTCATTGAGCTACAGCCCCACCCCTTTTATTATTTATTTATTTATTTATTTATTTTTTGGTACTGGGGATGGAACTCGGTCAGGACCTTGCGCTTGCAAGGCATGCACTGGAACCACTGAGCTAAATCTTCTGCCCCTCTTTTATTTTTTATATTCAGACAATGTCTGAATAAGTTACCTAGGCTGGGCTTGAACTTTAGATTCTCCTGCCTCGGTCTCCCTGGGTTCTGGAATTATAGCTGTGCACCACTGCACTCAGCTTTAGTCGCACATTTAGCGCGTCACCTGTGTAGAAAAGTGTAAAGCCACAGGTCGTGAGAACGATTCTGGAAAGCCTTGGACAGCTGACTTGGAGACAGGCAGAAGCTGTCCAGCTCCCCACAGGGAGGCCCTCCCGGGGCCCAGTGTGGATGCCCGGCTGCTTAGACACAGTTCTTGCTCCCTGGGGGCCCTGGACATGCAGGCCCCTCAACACGTGGGTCAGGAGGTGCCACATGGCGGTGCCAGGCCTGGCTTGGGCCCTGTGCCCTGAGTCTGACACCCGACTCCATCTTCGTGTCTAGGTGGGGCTGCAGATCTTACCGGTGGACGGCAACCCGCACAAGACGTGCGCCATGGTTTGTCACCCAGATGGGGTGGCGGGGTTGGCCCTGTCCTACGACGGCCGCTATGCCTTCACAGCAGGAGGACACGACTGTTCAGTGGTACAGTGGAAAATCAACCTGAGGTGCGTGCCACTGCAGACTCCTCTTCACCCAGCAACAGCAGACAGAAATCCCAGCTCCTAGGGAGGCTGAGGCAGGAAGATTGCAAGTCCAGGTCAGCCTGGGCAGCTTAGTGAGACTTTGTCTTAAAAAAAAAATTTTTTTTTGAAGGTCTGGGGATGTAGCTCAGAGCCCCCTGGGTTCACTCCCCAGTATTGGGGGGGAAAACAGGAAGGGGAACCAGAGCACAGCTGCAGACTGTTGTGGAACTTTGTCTACATGCCAGACCCTACCTGGGACATCACAGGGCCTGACCTCAGTGCTCCCTGGGGACCTCTGTCCCCATGACCCTGCAGACCCAGAGTCACTGCACTGACGTTTGAATAAGGGGCCTGCTCTCTGCTGGCTGTGGGATGTAGGGCAGCTTTCTTAACATTGCTGATCCTAAATTGGGTTGGTGGCTCACACCTGTAATCCCAGCACTTGGGAGGCTGAGGCAGGAGGACTTCTAAGAATCCAAGGCCAATTTGTGCTACATAGACCCTGTCTCAAAAACCAAAAAAACAAAAACCATGTCAGACCCTTCTCTTCCTTGTCTATAAAATGAGGGACTTTGACAGGATCTCCCTAAGGGCCCGGAAGATCAGCATTTGCAGAGCACCCAGCGCAGAGCTAAGTACTCCATGAATCAGAGGCTGCCTCTTTGGCTGTGGGCTTGGGCTCTTTCACACTAAAGTGGGGCAGGCACGAGGCGACCTCCCCCTGCCCAGACTCAGGCAGCTCGTGCTGTCCCGCCCACCGATGGCAGCAGGGCTCTCCAAGGTGAGCCCAGGGTACACTTGGCCCCTGGCAATCTGCCTCTCAGAAGGGACATCGGGGATCCTCCTCTAACCAGATCGGAAGCAGCAGGGCTCGACTTTGCCTCTGCCGTCCCCCAGGGGACAGATGGGGCCGGTTACCTGGACACGGGGCGAGCTCTGAGCCCCTTAGTCCCTGTCATTCCACTGTCTCCACAGCCCTGGGCAAGCGACCCAGGTGGAGAGAGCAGTTGCCCCTTCATTGTCTTTGTCCTCTGCTTGGTCACCCTAGGATCTGGAATCTAGGGATTCAAAAAAAAGAGGACACGCTCGCGCCTCTCCAGTCGCTTTCCTGGGCCTGGCCAGCATCCAGACTTCTGAGAATTTCCATTTAATCTGTTGTGGGGACAAGGGATCATTATAAACTAATTAGCACTTCATTGCTGCTTCTGGTGACTTAATATGTTCCAGGCTTCACTAATGGAAAGAAATGTAAAATCCCTAACAAGTGAACAAAATTCCCGGCTGGATTCAGCGCAGCAGGGGAAGTGGAGTGGGCAAATCCCCTCTGATTTTGAGGGCATCAGTCAGCTCAGGCCCAGCCCAAGATACTTCTCCCCAGCCCCTCCCTGGGGCCCAGGGCTCATTCTGCACCCTCTCCCCTCCCCCCATCTTTGCCCGCACCCTCACCTCCCCCTTCTCCTGTGGCATCTGTTCTTTTTTTTTCTTGTCTTTCCTTTGTGTGGTACTGGGGATTGAATCCGGGGCGCTCTACCATGAAGCTGCATTTGAAGCCCTGTTTATTTTTTATTTTGAGACAAGGTCTCCCTAAACTGTCTGGGTTGGTCTCAAACTTGTGATCCTCCTGTCTCAGCCTCCCAAGTAGCTAGAATTACAGGCAATGTTTTGGGGGGGTTTTTTTGTACCGAGGATCGAACTTGGGACCTTGCACTTGCGAGGCAGGTGCCAGAACCACTGAGCTAAATCCCCGGATTTAGGCAATGTTTTAAAATCTCCCATTCCTTTTCTGTGCTCAACTTCACTACCTCCTCTCCTCCTGCACCCTGCTTGGATAAAAGCGGAGCCCTGCATTCAAAACCGGGCTTTGCCACCTACTGGTGGGGCAGCAGCAGGCAAGTCCCTTAACACCTCTGAGTCTCAGTTTCTCCATCGGCCGAAGGGCAATGTCATCACAGGGTGGTTGAGGGAGTGGTGACTCCCACCATGGCATGGGCATTTCCTGAGCAGCTCCTGGTGCCAGGCGCAGGCTCCTGGTTTCCGGAGGGTCAGCCCGTCACCCAGAAGGAGCGATCTGTTGCCAGGTGCAGTCGGGTTCAGCCAACGTCACTTCTGTTTTCTACAGCGACCTCATTTTGTACTGCAAGTATTAGGAACCCAATTTAGGCAGACGGGTGGCGGTGGGGCTTAGGAGGTCACCGGATCCAGTGTAGCTGCCCTGTGGTGGGAACACGGATGCAGCCCCCTCATTTGCTGTCCCCAGCACACAGCTGCAAGGTTTTTGAGACCCCTGTCTCAAAAAAACAAAAAAAGGAAAAAGAAAAAAGACCTTACCCTGAGGGTTCCTGGACAAGCAAAGGGTGGCGCTGGGATTCCCACCCTGGCTCTGAGTCTGTCCCACACCCCACACCGCTGAGGACAGCACAGGAGCCCGCACACACGCCTTCCTTTGAGGACACTGAGGCCCCAGCTCCAGTTCCTTGCCTGAGGCCACACAACTTCACAGGGCGGCAGGACACCCGCCCGCCCCTCCGTGCCCCTCCCCGCTGTGGTCCTGAAAGGGCTCCCTCGGGAGCAGGCCAGGGAGTGTGTAGGGAGAAGCAGTCGGTGATCGGCTTTCCAGCCAGGAAAGTCAGCCTTTCGTAAAAGTAGGCTTTCTTCCCATCCCAAAGCCTATTTTTGGAGACTCTGACCCCAAGTTAGAGAGCAGAGGGTTATTTTTATCAGCCTGGCGCGGGTCCCTGTGGTCTCCCGAGTTTTTACGGCAGTAATTAGAGCTGGCAGCCACCTCCACACCATCCCAGCCTCGGCTCTGGTCCTGCGTCTGAAGTCATGGGCAGCGCTGCCGGGCTGCGAGGATGCAGTCTCGGAACACGAGTGCCAGCGGGCCTGGCGGGAGACGCGGTCCTCGAGGTGCAGACAGGTCTCCAGCGCACCCATGCCATCATGGTAATTCAGGCAGGTGCCCTGTGCCACCAGACCCCGGCTTGAAATTGAATTTTCTGTCCTTTGCTTCAGTGTGGAGTAATCGGAGCAGCACTGGTGCCCAAGCGGAGGGCGTTCACCCCAAGTGCTCCCTAATGTCTCATCTCTCTCGTTCCAGCGCCCTGGACGCTGCCGTTTCTCTTGGGGGCGAAGACTTGACCCCGTTCTATGGTCTGGTGCCAGGTGGCAGGGAAGGAAAATTCTACAGGGTAACCATCCCCGCTACCCGCGAGTCAGGCTGGTGACACAGGCTCCGCCCCCCCCCCCCATTTGGCTCCGATAAAGGCCCTTTCCCCGCCCACCCGGCTCCAGTGTGCTTTCCAGAAGCCTCGCCCACCAGGACGCTCCCTGCTCCCTTCTCGTCCGCACAGGAGCTGGAAGATTATTTCTTCTACTCTCAGATCCGCAGCCAGGGCATCGACACCATGGAGACCAGGAAGGTGTCGGAGCACATCTGCCTCTCCGAGGTCCCATTCGTCATGAGGGCAATCGGCTTCTACCCCTCCGAGGAGAAGGTAGGAGGAAAGGAGGGCTGACGAGGTGCAGCTCAAAGCAAAGGCCTCTGGGAGCCATTATGAGAGGTCAGCGGAGAGATTTAATATTCTTCTTACGTCAATGGAAGTGGGAAAGTTCTGGGCATTTCAGATGCGCTCTTGAGCAGTGTGCCGTTACCAGGAGACGGTTTCCTTTCGGAAGTTTAATGTCGGTCAGAGCGCAGGTTTAGGAGGACACAGCCCAGCAGGACATGAGTATAATTTTTGGTTTGGGGAAAGGGCCTTGCTCTGTACTTCAAGCTGACACTGAGCTCACTGTGTAGCCCAGGCTGGCCTTGAACTTGTGGTGATGCTCCTGCCTCGGCCTCCCAAGTGCAGGGATCACAGGTGTGGCACTACCCCCAGCACAGCTCTGTACCTAACCAAACCACCCGCCGGCTTGTGGACACAGAGGTTGTTGAACGTATTTGTCGAGCAGAGACATGGCTGGGAAGAGCATCTCTGAGTGTGGATTTTGTGTACTTAAACGATTTTCCTGCCCTAGAGTCCAAGAAGCAGAATTACAAGGTCAGAGAATATGAACTTTAAGGCCTCGTCATCAACTGCTTTCCACATGGGTAGTGAATCCCATGCCCACCTCGAGGCACGCGTGGACCATGAGACCCATGGAGACTGATGGTCAGACTCAGTGACTGAGGCTCTCAGGGTGACGCGAGTAGGGTTTTTTTAAAACTGGGAGTTGAACCCAGAGCCTTGTGCATTTATCTACACCTCAGCCTTCTCTTTTTGGGAGAGGAGGGGTGTGGTTGAGACATAGGCTGACCTCATACTCACAGCAATCCTCCTGCCTCAGCCTCCCAGAGGCTGCCATACCCAGGTCTTGTCCCTTCCTTCCTTTCTCCCTCCCCTCTCCCTTGTTCCCCTTCCCATTTGAACATTTTCTCCCCGTTTCCCAATATCTATTATACATTTTAGTCCTTGTTTCCACTTTCGGTTTCTCACACCAGAGAAACAATGGGGTATTTAAACATGTAGGTCCGATTTATTTCACTTGAGAGTAAAGTCTCAAGGTGCATCCATTTAGATAGAAATGTTAGAGTGCATGTTTTTATTTTTATTTTATTTTATTTTTGGGTACCGGGGATTGAACTTGGGACCTTGCACTTGCAAGGCAGGCAGCAGAACCACTGAGCTAAATCTCGGCCCTAGAGTGCATGTTTTTATGGTGCATTTCTTGCTGTACGTTCATTCTTTTTCATGGCAGCATAACGTTCCACTGTGTGGATAGACCATTTTGATTTACTCATAGGTCAGTTGCAGACAAGTGGGTTGTTTTCGTCTCACAGCATTGCATTAATGCTGCTGTGAACATTCATGTTCAAATTTGTGTGTGAACATTCTGTCTCCATTTCTCTATGGCATCTGCCAGGAGAGAGATTGCTGGGTCACATGGGCGCCCTGTTTAGTTTGGGGAACACCCAGACTTTGCCTAGCAGAGCTTCCACCCCCCCATCCCTGTTTTGATTTGCATCTGCCCCATGGCTGAGGTTCTGCCTCTGCCTGTGCTTCCTGCCCATTCCCGGGTCCTGTCAGGCCTCTCGGAGAAATCGCTGCTCTCAGCTTTGGCCCACTTTTTAATTCAGCTGTTTGCCTTTTTATTACTGAGAAGAGTTCCTTGTCAGATATATGATCTACAAGTGTCTCTCCCTTTCTGTGGTTCTCTCTCTCCCTTTCTGTTTCTTTCTTCTTGGTTTTAGTTTTGTGAGGCAGGGTCTTTCTAGGTAGCCCAGGCTGGCCTCAAACTGGCAGTGATCCTCCTGCCTCAGCCTCCTGAATGCTGGGATCACAGGGGTGTACCACTACGCCCAGCTGGTCATACAGATTTATAGTCCTCATGTTGGCAGTATGCACATAACATACTTTAATCACTCCCCTCATTTCACGTTTGGGGTGGCTTCGATGTGTAGAATGTATTTTAATTTTATTCACCCCCTCCCTTTTCTTCTGTTTTTGGGAGAGTTTGTAGAGAATTGGTATTGTATTTCTCTTTAAGTGTTTGGTAGAATTAATCAGGGAAGCCATCTAGGCCTTGGCTTTTCTTTACAGGAAATTTTAAATTACTAATTCAGAGCCAGGTGTGGTGGTGGATACCTGTCATCTCAGCACTCAGGGGGCTGAGGCAGAAGGGTCACCTTAAGTTTGAGGCCAGCCTGGGCTGCATAATGAATCCAAGATCAGCCTGAACTACATAATGAGACTCTGTTTTAAAAATAAACACTAAAATAAAATAGTGAATTCAAGCTAGGTACAGTGGCCTACAATCCCAGCATTCTTCTTCTTTTGGTACTGGGGATCGAACCCAGGACCTTGCACTTATGAGGCAGGAGCCAGAACTGCTGAGCCAAATCCCCGGCCCATATAATCTCAGCATTCTTGGAGGCTGAAGCAGGAGGGTCACAAATTCAAGGCCAGCCTGAGCAATTTAGTGACTTCAAAAGACCTTGTCTCAAAAAACAAAAACAACAAAAAACTGGTGATCCAGCTCAGTGCAAAGGCCCTGGGTTCAATTCCCAGTACCACGAGGTGGGGAATTTAGAAAGAATCACTGCATTGGTCTCCTTACTTGGTGTTGGTCTGCTCCGTTGCTCTTTCTTCTTGAGTAAGTTGTGGTCCTTTGTGTCTTCCTAGGAATTTCTCCCTGCCATCTAAGCTGTAGCATCTGCTGTCTCCAGATGTTCAGTGTCCTCAGCTTTATTTCTGCAGGGTCGCTCTGACGTTGCCTTCAGTCCTGATTTTAGTCAGTGGAGTCATTTTTTCTATTTCTCAGTTATTCCAGCTCAATTGTGTCAATTTTGTTGATCTTTCCAGGTGACTGGTGGCTTCTTCATTGTTTATTTTAAATATTACACCACATAAATTACATGTATGTCCCATGTCATCTGTTGTACATATAAAATATATAAAAATAGAAAAGAAAAAGAGGAAAAAAACATAATGCAATTAATTAAACTTTCTAGGCCCATGGGTCCTATATTTGAGTTTTCTGCTTATTTTCTTATTCAGCCAAACTCACTTCTAAGTTTTTGAGGATCTTTTTTTGGTTTTGATTTTTTTTTTTTTTTTTTTTTGTACTGGGGATCGAACTCAGATCCTTGCGCTGGCGAGGCAGGCGGTGGAACCACTGAACTAAATCCCCGGCCCCTTTTTTCAAGGCCACTGGGAGAGAGAACCAGAGTCTTACTGTGTAGCTTAGGCTGGCCTTGAACTCACAGCGATCTTCCTGCCTCAGCCTCCCCAGTGCTGGGACTGGCTGGGATTACAATCTCCTGCCACAAGGACAGGCTGGATGAAGATTCTATCTTTAAAATGAAACTAGGGCTGGGGATATCTGCTTCACAAGGCAGGGAAGTAGCTGTTACAAGGAGCTCTTCAGGGGAAAGGGAATGAAATGAAACAGTAGTTATGTGCTTCTTATGATGTGACAAACTTGCTGCTGTGTTAAAGCCTAAAGCACCTGTAACGAAGCACTAACCAACTGGGTGTTAGAAACATTTATTTTTTTAATTTTTTTTATTTTTTAGAGACAGGGTCTTGCTGTATATTCTAAGTTGACCTTGAACTCACTAGGTAGCCCAGGCTGGGCTTGACCCTCCAGCAATCCTCCTCCTCCTGCCTCAGCCTTCCGGGTGTTGGGATCACAGGCATGTGCCCCAGTGCTGGCTCCAGTGACCCTATTTCTAATAGAGGCCTGAGGGCTAAGACTTCAGCATATTGCTTGGGAAGCAGAGGCAGGAAGATGGCCACAGCCTGGGCTACACAGTGAGTGCAAGGGCTGAACTTTCTTTTTTATTCTCTTCCCTAGATTGAGGACATGTTTAACGAGATCAAATTTAGCGAGTACGCAGACACGGGGAAGCTGATCGACAGAATCAACCTGCCCGACTTCCTCAAGGTGTTCGTCAACCACAGGTCGCCCTTTGGCAACACCCTGAGCGGCATCCGGCAGAGCTTTGAGGTGCTGGGCACCCCCAACGCGCAGGGCGAGAAGGCTGTGCGCAGGGAGGTGCTCCTGCAGCTGCTGCTCAGCAGAGGTGACTGCAGCCAAGGGCGCAGGCCAGAGGCACCTCCGGACGTGGCTGCTTGGGGTCTCAGCGTCCTGTCTGTAACCTGGGGCCCGCGCCCGCTTTCCAGTCCCACAGGGCTCTTGTGAGACTGGGTGGGATGCGTTTGCTTTTGCGGGATTTTTGTTTGTTTGTTTGCTTGCTTTTTGAGACAGGGTCTCACTGTAACCCAGGCTGGCCTTGTACTTAGGGTGCTCCTCCTGCCTCAGCCTCCCAAGCGCTGGGATTACAGGCCTGCACCTCCACGCCCGACATTGGGAGGCATTTATGAAATAAACCCACCCCTCAGTAAACCTTTTCACCTTTCCCTACTGTTTTCCTCATTATTTGAAGGCGAGGGAGT